AGATAAACGGGGATTAACACCAGACAAACAATCGAGCAGGAAGCCGGAATCAAGGAGCTATCAAAGAAAAACCACAAAATTGGGGGGGGGGGAAGGCCCACGCTTCCTTGCACTGATGGCGTGAACTAATTGGGTTACGAAGTGCCTGCAAAGAGATTAACAAGCTCAGAGAGCACCAAGAGAAGGGAGGGAGGGAAGGAGGGAAGGAATAGGAAGAAGGGAAGGGAAGGGAGGGAGGGAGGAATAGGAGGGGGGGAATGGAGGAATAGGAAGGAGGGAGGGAGGGAAGGAAGGAATAGGAGGGAGGGAAGGAGGAAAGGAATAGGAGGGAGGGAAGGAAGGAGGAAGGGAAGGAGGAAAGGGAGGGAGGGGAAAGGAATAGGAGGGAGGGAAGGAATAGGGATGGAGGGAAGGAAGGAAGGAAGGAGGAAGGGAAGGAGGAAAGGAATAGGAGGGAGGGAGGGGGGGAAGTAAGGAAGGAAGAAATGGAAGGAAGGGAATGAGGAAAGGAATAGGAGGGAGGGAAGGAATAGGGATCAAGGGAGGGAGGGAGGCAGGGAAGGAATAGGAGGGAGGAAAGGAATAGGGATGGAGGAAAGGAAGGAAGGAAGGAGGAAGGGAAGGAGGAAAGGAATAGGAGGGAGGGAAGGAAGGAATAGGGATCGAGGGAAGGGAGGGAGGGGAAAGGAATAGGAGGGAGGGAAGGAATAGGGATGGAGGGAAGGAAGGAAAGGAAGGAAGGAAGGAGGAAGGAGGAAAGGAATAGGAGGGAGGGAGGGTGGGGGAAAGGAAGGAAGGAAGGGAATGAGGAAAGGAATAGGAGGGAGGGAGGGAAGGAATAGGGATCAAGGGAGGGAGGGAGGCAGGGAAGGAGGGAAGGAATAGGGAGGGAAGGAATAGGGATGGAGGGAGGAAAGGAAGGAAGGAGGAAGGAAGGGAAGGAGGAAAGGAATAGGAGGGAGGCAGGGAAGGAGGGAAGGAATAGGGATGGAGGGAAGGAAGGAAGGAAGGCTTACCGGTGTTGGTAGCAGTGGCCATGGCTCCAATGGCATCGGTGGTGATAAAGTAATTCTCGCTCAGATGGGGGAAGCGGCTCTTCATGTCCTCAATGAGCTTCTCGGTGGCTTCCTTCTGCTCCCCTCCACTCAGGGAGAGACCCTGCAGCCACAGGCAGC